CACGTAATGTACATATAAAAGATAGAAAATCACCATTTAATATAGGTAATAGGCATTGGGAAAAACTGTGAACATGTAACATGTAATGTACATATAAAAGATAGAAAAGCAGCCTTGGGCAGGGAGAGGAGGAGAAGGAGAAAAAGAGGAAGGAGAAGGAGGAGAAGGAGAAGGAGAAGGAGAAGGAGAAGGAGAAGGAGAAGGAGAAGGAGAAGGAGAAGGAGAAGGAGAAGGAGAAGGAGAAGGGGAAGGAGGAGAAGAGGAGAAGAGGAGAAGAGGAGAAGAGGAGAAGAGGAGAAGAAGAAAAAGGAGAAGAGGAGAAGAAGCAGAAGCAGAAGAAGAAGCAGAAGAAGGAGGAGAAGAAGAAGAAGAAGAAGAAGGAGAAGAAGAAGAAGAAGAAGAAGGAGAAGAAGAAGAAGAAGAAGAAGGAGAAGAAGAAGAAGAAGAAGGAGAAGGAGAAGAAGAAGAAGAAGAAGGAGAAGAAGAAGAAGAAGAAGAAGAAGGAGAAGAAGAAGAAGAAGAAGAAGAAGAAGAAGAAGAAGAAGAAGAAGAAGAAGAAGAAGAAGAAGAAGAAGAAGAAGAAGAAGGAGAAGGAGAAGGAGAAGAAGAGGAGAAGGAGTCAGAGAGGATGTCAGGGTGGAAGAAGAAGAAGAAGAAGAAGAAGAAGAAGGAGAAGAAGAAGAAGAGAGAAGGAGTCAGAGAGGATGTCAGGGTGTGTGTGTGCCTCTGCCTGAGCTGCTGAGCAAACCACAGCAGCTCCAGGAGAAAATCTTTTCGATAACTTGCAATAAACAACCAAGACACCGAACAACAGAAGTCTTCTGAGCCTTTCTTTGGAAACACGGGTTGGAAGAGAAGCTTTCCCACCCCACAAAGCCACCCCTGACCTAGGGTGGTCTTCGGCACACCCCCAGCCCTTTTTGGGGTCTCCAGGAGGGACAACCCCGCCGTCCCCACCTACCCACGACGGCCAGCGAGGGCGGGCAGGGCCAGTAGTCGGTCTCGATCTTGGCGGGCTGGTTGGGGTCCGGGGGCTGCGCCGCCGGGAATTTGGAGGATTCGATGATCAGGTCCTCGATGAGATGTTTCCCGTGGTGGGCACTGGAATGGTGGTCTGGGGGCACCACGGGGAGGGGTGAGGCAGCGTCCCGGGGTGTCCCAGCCCGTGGGATAAAACCCCCCCATTCCACACTCACCTTTCTGCCGGTAGATCGGGGGCTTCTTGTAAATGTTGAGCTCGGTGGTGTCGGTCTCTGGGAGGAAAAAGGGATTTGGGGTTGGGAGAGGAGTTTGTGGGGTTGGGAGTGGGAATTTATGGGGTTGGGAGTGGAGTTTGTGGGGTTGGGAGCTCATGGGGTTGGGAATTTCTGGGGTTGGGACTGGGAATTGATGAGGTTGGGAATGGGATTTTATGGGGTTGGGAGCTCATGGGGTTGGGAATTTCTGGGGTTGGGACTGGGAATTGATGAGGTTGGGAATGGGATTTTATGGGGTTGGGAATGGGAGTTTGTGGGGTTGGCAATTGAGTTTGTGGGGTCGGGAGTGGGAATTGATGGGATTGGAAATGGGAGTTTATGGGATTGGGAGCTCGTGGGGCTGGGAATTTATGGGGTTGGAAGTGGGAATTTATGGGGTTGGAAGTGGGAATTTATGGGGTTGAGAATGGGAGCTCATGGGGTTGGGAGTGGGAATTTAAGGGGTTGGGAATGAGAATTTATGGGGTTGGGAGTGGGAATTTATGGAGTTGGGAATAGGAATTTGTGGGGTTGGGAGTGGGAATTTAAGGGGTTGGGAGTGGGAATTTAAGGGGTTGGGAATGAGAATTTATGGGGTTGGGAGAGGGAATTTATGGAGTCGGGAATAGGAATTTGTGGGGTTGGGAGTGGGAATTTATGGGGTTGGGAGTGGGAATTTATGGGATTGGGAATGGGAATTTATGGGGTTGGGAGTGGGAGCTGCTGGGGTCGGGAATGGGAGCTGGTGGGAATGGGAGTGGGAGCTCATGAGATTGGGAGTGAGAATTTATGGGTTGGGAGTGGGAATTCATGGGTTTGGGAATGAGAGCTCATGGGGATTGGGAATGGGAGCTCATGGGGTTGGGAGTGGGAATTTATGGGGTTGGGAATGAGAATTTATGGGGTTGGGAGAGGGAATTTATGGGGTCGGGAATGGGAATTTGTGGGGTTGGGAGTGGGAATTTATGGGATTGGGAGTGGGAATTTATGGGATTGGGAATGGGAATTTATGGGGTTGGGAATGGGAGCTCATGGGGATTGGGAATGGGAGCTGCTGGGGTCGGGAATAGGAATTTATGGGTTGGGAGTGGGAATTTATGGGGTTGGGAATGGGAATTTATGGGGTCAGGAATGGGAATTTATGAGGTTGGGAATGGAGCTGCTGGGGTTGGGAATGGGAATTTATGGGGTCGAGAGTGGGAATTTATGGGGTTGGGAATGGGAATTTATGGGGTCGAGAGTGGGAATTTATGGGGTTGGGAATGGGAATTTATGGGGAGAGGGAGCTGCTGGGGTCGGGACGAGGCCCCGGGCCACGGCGCAGGCAGCGCGGGGGTCCCACCCTGGGGTCCCACCCTGGGGTCCCACCCCGGGGTCCCGCTCCGGGGTCCCATTCCGGGGTCCCGCTCCGGGGTCCCACCCCGGGGTCCCACCCCGGGGTCCCGCTCCGGGGTCCCACCCCGGGGTCCCATTCCAGGGTCCCATTCCTGGGTCCCGCTCCGGGGTCCCGCTCCGGGGTCCTGCCCCGGGGTCCCGCCCCGGGGTCCCGCCCTGGGGTCCCATTCCTGGGTCCCACCCCGGGGTCCCATTCCTGGGTCCCACCCCGGGGTCCCGCTCCGGGGTCCCATTCCTGGGTCCCATTCCAGGGTCCCACCCCGGGGTCCCACCCCGGTGTCCCGCTCCGGGGTCCCGCTCCGGGGTCCCACCCTGGGGTCCCGCTCCGGGGTCCCGCTCCGGGGTCCCGCTCCGGGGTCCCACCCCAGGGTCCCACCCCGGGGTCCCACCCCGGGGTCCCACCCCGGGGTCCCACCCCGGGGCCCCGCTCCAGGGTCCCATTCCAGGGTCCCACCCCGGGGTCCCATTCCAGGGTCCCACCCCGGGGTCCTGCCCCGGGGTCCCGCTCCAGGGTCCCCTTCCAGGGTCCCACCCCAGGGTCCCGGCCCGGGGTCCCATTCCAGGGTCCCGCTCCGGGGTCCCATTCCAGGGTCCCACCCCGGTGTCCCGCTCCGGGGTCCCGCTCCGGGGTCCCACCCCGGGGTCCCGCCCTGGGGTCCCACTCCGGGGTCCCATTCCTGGGTCCCACCCCGGGGTCCCACCCCGGGGTCCCGGGGCCGTTACCGGGTCGGTGGAAGTGCTGGACGCTGCTGCGGGTGGGGGCAGCGCCCTGGCGCGAGGGGGGCCCCGGGGTGCTGCTGGGGGGGCGGCTGTCCAGCCACTCCCGGATCGCCTGCGGGACAGCGGGGTCAGCCGGACCCTCCCCAATTTGGGGTCACCTGGACCCTCCCCAATTCGGGGTCAGCCGGACCCTCCCCAATTCGGGGTCAGCCAGACCCTCCCCAATTCGGGGTCACCCAGACCCTCCCCAGTTTGGGGTCAGCCGGACCCTCCCCAATTCGGGGTCAGCCGGACCCTCCCCAGTTTGGGGTCAGCCAGACCCTCCCCAATTCAGGATGAACCGGACCCTCCCCAATTCGGGGTCAGCCGGACCCTCCCGAATTCGGGGTCAGCCGGACCCTCCCCAATTCGGGGTCAGCCGGACCCTCCCCAATTCGGGGTCAGCCGGACCCTCCCCAATTCGGGGTCAGCCGGACCCTCCCCAATTCGGGATCCCCCAGACCCTCCCCAATTCGGGATCAGCCGGACCCTCCCCAATTCGGGGTCA